CCCCCCCGACCCTGAGGTAGCTTCACCCATAATTGTTGCCATATATCAAAAAGGAATAACCACTTTGCATTATCTAGGTCCCAATTGCTAAATGCTATGCATATCACAAAGTAATACTTCTAGTAAACCTTCCTAAAAAAGAAAGTAATACCTAATCCCCAAAAATAGATCACAAATAAACAAAATAACATGTAATGGGATGAACATCTTTCAGGCTCGAGCAATCTAGGTGCTACCTCACATCATCATTCATGTATAATTAAATTCACACTTTTTACACACACAGCCAATAAAGACAACCAAAAAAATTGCCAGAAAACAAAGCAGATGGAAGCAGCTACGTAGTAACAGTAAAGACTAAGTAATCATGTACACTTCCTTTCAGTTCATACATGACATCCAAGGTCATATATTTTTCAAACCGAAGATCGTTGCAGTACTAGTTTCAAGAATTTCTTTCATTTCCCTGAAAGAATTTCAAGAATTCAAACGTGGTTTGATAAATTAAGAGAAGCAAAAAACCTCTTTATCCATGTCTACATTCCTAAATTTGTCCCACTCCCCCACATTTGCCATGCAAAATGGTGACAACGGCACATCATCACCTGTAACATGAACCACAAACCAATAGTTTCATAATGCCTGCAAAGAAGTTAGCAAAAAGGAATCTGCTGCAAGCATGTAGTGGAGTTGAAAGGGGGGAAAGTAACAAGGAGTGATCGTATAATATTACGGCCATGAAGGAAGGAAACCCTAAGATGAATAGGAAGTTCGAATCAATTTTGTGCTCAGCGACACATCCAACCTATCTGAGGATCGATTTTAAGAATTGCCAATCTGCAGTAACATAAACTTTTCAGTTTTTCACTTTATATTATCGACCAATCTTCACCAGACTGAGTAATTTTCTGAAATATTTGTTATTTTCAGACTTTATATTTAATTCAAAAATGAATTTGAAAAAGCTTACAACAAAATAGAAGGTCAGGGTGTACTAATTTTTGAAATTTCTTTTGCTAGATGTTTCATATAGTATAATATCTTATTATTTAGATTTCTGTAAGACTGTTTCCTGTGATATGTCTTACCAAATGGAGGTGGAGCAAACAAGCCTCTAATTTCTTCTGCATTCAAACGAGGTACAAGTTCCATCAACAGACGATCATTTAACCACCTACGAGTTCGCCGATTGCTAACCTGAAACAAATAATAAAATCTTAGATGCAACCACCAGCACAGTAGGGTCTGGACTACACTGGACCTCCCAGCCCCACAAAACAACAAAACACACACACAAAACAACAACCACCCAACAAAAAATATGTAAAGATTTTGTCACCAGAAACAAAGGCTGCCAGAATTTTATAAACAAACCACAGGGTACTCCTAGTGATCCAATCATCCCAGTGACAATACGGAATATAAAAAAAGGTTGCATGAGTATATGACTGATCAAATCACATAATGATCCTATTATCATTCTGTAAAGGTTTGCAACTCCCTCAGCTCCCAGCAACATATTGCACAATGTGCTTCTAGCAAATGTGTTATTCAATAAAAAGACTAATAGTTTTGCATTCCCAATGTCTACAATAGACATACAGGCCGTAGATATATTGGGATAGGAGAGTGAAACAGAGATTCAGAAAGAAAAAANAACAGCATAACAAAGTTAGTGTCTATTTGATTAATAAAGCTTAATTTTTAATATACAAAACGTTTTTAAATTATTCAGAGACAAAACGATGTGCGTAAATTATTTATATTTCGTAATATAGAATGCGTAAATTAAAATTTTTAATATTTAAAGATAAAAATTAAAAATCAAAAGATTTTAGGGTGTAAAGTGAAATTAGCCCATCAAATTTTGACATTTGGCAAAAGAGTGATGTGTGTGCGATTGGCTTCGCTGGAATGAGACGTGAAGTTGAAATTGCTACTTTGACCTCCATTTGTGGGTACCGTGACGTTATTGTTATTACGAGGTATCGTCATTTATTAAAAATATAACTAATAAATAAATAAATTCATTTATTATAATAATTATCATATCATATCATGTTATTTAACAACTATCTAAATTGAATTTATCTTACTCATTTATACATTTATTATTAAATTATGATATTACATATTAATAATGATGCAATATCACATTTACTTGTAAATCACAAGTTCGATTGAATCTTCCTAATTTTTCTGTTGGCATAACTCAAAAATAGTTAGACCCAATTAAATCTTTAAACCGGGTCAAATGTTTTGTGACACGTGAATAATACATATATTTTGGTCTAGTTTTTTGGCCAGAGACAACTGCTAATCACACCCACTGTCGGTTAAATCAGACTGGCATGATCAGAAATCATCCAAGGAAGCAACAAGTATCACNATCCTCAACCATCCAAGTCGTTAGAGAAGAATATACGTTAGAGAGGCCGAGAGGGATGTAACATACATGTTCATATCCTTAACAAGCCCTCTCACATGCAACCTAGACTCACCTCCATCAATTTGGTTGAGCAAATGCAAGCAAGGTTGTCAAAACATATATTGCAATGATTATTGTTTTCCAAACTAATGTATCATGTATCCTAGCTTATTGTGTACTGTAAGATACATTCAACCTTAAGAGAAAATGTATATTAATCAACGTATATAGATAAATATAACACATATAATGTCCAAAATAAAATAAATACGGTTTCTTTTGATGCGATGCGTGTATGCGATATAGATAGAAAGAGAAAACACTTCATTTTCGTGGAAGAGATCGAATACAGTTAAGGTTTTGTTTGTTTGAAGAAGAAGAAAAGATACATGAGAAGTAGAATAGGCTCGCAAAAGAAAAAGGTAATCGTGGGCTTTGTCTGTTTGAGATCAAACCAAGAAAGAAAAATAACTAATAGGTAACAATGTTACTTCATTTTTTGGAGTAAAAAAAAAGAGTAATAACATGAAAAACTGATCTTGTGCAGATCATCTTTTCACCGTATCCAAATGTAACGTAAAATATGTATACAATACAGTGAAAAAATAAATACATATCGCCAATAAGTATCATTTTTCCACTTAATTGTAATGTATAACAACTATGAATACAAGTACTATGATTATCAGGATAGTTAAAATCCCATTTATATCTTCCGCGTGATACATCATGTGAATCCTTTAATCAATACATTCATCCTAATTCATATTATCACACAACTCGAAATAAAAGACACACGATTGACTATAGAAAGTCCCTTGCCTGGGTTTCTAGGAAACAGTAACTCTCTTCAGTTGTTTTGTGTTCACAAGATTATACATATGTTCCATTAGAATGGGAAAGAAGTGGTTTCACCAATTGAATAGATTGATACATGAGCTCCTTGAAAGAAAGAACAAAACCAAACTCCAACATTCTTACCTCCTTGAGCCCCAATTTAGGACAGAAGAAGCGACTAAAGAAGTCAAACCCAGATCCATGGGGAGCAAGTCCTGTAATAATCATTCCCCTTCCAGCACACTTTTCAATCTCATCAAACTGCGGCTGTATTTCTTCAACTGCCTCCCCTGATGGGAGCACAACCTGCCAACACAAAACTTTCACTCCCCTTGAGCACAAAGTTAAAACTAGAACATTTCATCAGCTATATTCAGTTTCTCATGCTTCCCAGTGACCCATTGACATGCTATCACTATGTCATTAGTCACTCTCTGGTTGACACTTCCATTATTTGCCTTACAACAAGTAGTTGCATACTAGTTCAATTATAAATAAAGAACGAAAGAGCAAATAGATTACTTACAAAGAGGTCATCTTTGGCGGTCTTCTTTATGTCAATTACAGAAGCACCATTCAAGCTTTTAGATATTGCGGCAACCTCAGCACAGTTAAAGTCAATTGTTGGCACAACTGGANGTGGCGGTCTTCTTTATGTCAAGTACAGAAGCACCATTCAAGCTTTTAGATATTGCGGCAACCTCAGCACAGTTAAAGTCAATCGTTGACACAACTGGAAAATCCAATTCAATGAAGAAGCTACCTTGTGCTTCACCATTCTGGAGGGACGATGAATCTAACTTTTTGGCCTTTGACACCCTTTTTGCAGTTAATATTCCTGATAGTGTCGAGAACTCAACTTCATCAGCATTTATCAAATCAGACGTGAAGAGAATGTGTGCAGCTGCTAAAGTTGCATGACCGCAAAGGTTTACCTGTCAGCATACAATTTTTGCAGATTTCATTACTCTACAAAGTCACAAATGTATATGACCCTAAATTCACTGAAAAAAAAAATTGAAGACTGCATCAATCTACAGACATGAAATAATATAAAATTTCGATATCGAAATTTTGTTTGGCTGATAACGCTTTCGTGAGGAAGGACCACAAATCAACAACCCCCCTGCCTTCTTTCCACACTGATGGGGCTGTTTATGGTTGTAACTCGGGAAATAGAACAATTCCGCAAAACATAAATAGCAGTTTCATTTGATGAATCCACACATTGGATGCTGTAATTGCAATCATCACAGATGAAAGAAAAGAATAATGCAACATTTGATTCATATAAGTCCTGTCTATAATCCAAGGACTAGACACTTTTGAGTTTAAGATCCAAATACAGATTATGCATAAAAGTGCCTTATCAAACAAAAAATCCAGAAATCTCTGAGAGAGGAATGGGCTGACCTCAGCAACAGGAGTGAACCACCTGAGGCGGAACCTGGGGGTAGTTATGGTTCCATTAGGCAAGTCATGAGACTCGGACTCAGAATCGGTGATCCGAGTCAAGTAACACGTTTCAGAGATATTGAACTCGCGAGCAACTGCTAGCAACCACTCCTCGTCTCTTTCCTCCTCCAACAAACACACCGCCGCCGGGTTTCCCTTGAACGGCGAGTCGGTGAACGCGTCCACCTGTTCCACAACACAAATCCACTTCCAGTAAATACTGTCTAAAACAGAAGCAAGTGTTAAGTATGTGTGGGGCTGGGGGTTGTGATTTACACAGAGAGAGAGATTACCACAGAGTACTTTACGGGCTTTTTGGCCATTCTTCAGGAGAGAGAGAGAGAGAGAGAGAGAGATGCGGACAGAACTGTGGCGACTGGGAGAAGACTTCGCTTATTTGTTGGGGGCAAATAGCAGTTTTCACCCCGAAAGATTAAAAATTCAATTTGCACTCTCAAGGATTAATTATTTCAAATCATACCCTTAATTAAATTAATTAGTAGCAATATGACTCCAACCATAGCGTTCTTTGTAAAATCTGACCCCAATCATAGACTTCGTTGTGATTATCATCAAATTTTCAGATGCACGTGATGACTTTTATCATATTATGACACTTCCCCATTTCATGTACTCGATAATCCAATAAATATCGTCATGGACATTACGGATGGGATTGCGATTTTTGTGAAATTGACCTTTCTCTTCTTTATGTACGTCTCAAATAGTTGTCAATTTAATGAAAATTACAACTGACGTTATGTTTGAGTCATATTGTTACTAATTAATTTAATTGTAGATATAATTTGTAATAAGTGATTTTAAGAGTATAAATTAGAAAAATTTTAATCTTTGGAATTCAAACTGCCATTTTCCCTAGTAGTTATTACAAAATCTATTTAAGAGAATTATACCTAATAAGTTTATCACTTTAACCCTTTATATTTAAAATATTATATATAGACTCCCTAAAGTTTATAAGCGCAGAACACTTAGACCTATCATTAATGTCTGTTAAAATATTCATTAGTAAATTACACGTAAACCTTTTGAAGTTTGTATATATGTAATATTTAGATCTCTCGAATTTAAAATATTATACTTAAACAAAAAATACTATAATAAAAGATGGAATATCAAATATTTTAAATTTTACAACCAAAATTCATATTTTATATACTATCTATTACAATAAAACTAAAAAAATAAACAAAAAGTCAAATTGTAATGGACACGATATCTTCTATCTTTAATTAAGATAGTTTGATCATTTAATAGATATATTTAGGTCATTCAAATTTAAAATGTTATACATACAAAAAAATAATATTTTAATTAAAAACAGAATATCAAATATTTTAAATTTTGCAAACAAAATTCATATTATATTATGTTATTTACTAATATAAAATTAAAAATAAAAATTTAATTTTTTCTTTAAAAAATCATAATTAATATACAATTATATTATCTATTAGAATAAAATCAAAAAAATAAATAAGGGTCAAATTGTAATGGACACAATATCTTTATTCGGGATAATTTTGTCGTTTAATATACATTATAATTGTATACTAAATTTTTTTAATTGAATTTTATTTTTTATTTATTTTAATAAATGACATAATAGAATATGAATTTTGGTTATAAAATTTAAAATATTTGATTGGATTATTTTTTGTCAAAATATAATATTTTAAACTTTAAAGGTCTAAGTATTACACGTCTATAAACTTGTCTAAGTATAATTTACTAACAGACATTCTAACTACATTGAAGATAAGGGTCTAAGTGTTTTGCGCGTACAAATCTCAAAGGTCCGTGTATAATATCTCAAATATTAAGGTGGATTAAATGACTAAGTAACAAATTTCAGAGGGCCTGAGCGTAATTATTCCAATCTATTTTGTCCTCAGGTTACGTTTGGCAAGCTGGGTCACACGTTTCTAATAGGGAGCTAGGCTATTCTTGAACAGGTTCAAGAGAACCGAGCTTGTCTTTCCGCACCCGATTTGGTCCCTATTAATCCGCCAATTACTGTGAATTGTGACTTTGGCTTGTCAATTTAGAAAAATTAAAAATCACTGGATTATTTTTCCTGTGAATAAGTTTGGCAAGCAGCACATAGAATGATTTTGATATAATTTAAACATAAATTAAAAATCACTGGATTATTTTCCGGTGAACAAGTTTGTCATATACAAAAAGCTACCAATATTACTATTTATATTCAATTTGGAAATTTAAATTGAAAATCTAATGTATTTGAGAAGGCATGTGCCAAGTTCAAAAAACAATACTTTTAAAGAAAATGATAAAGTAATAAACTATGTTCCTTAGAATGGACAATTTGCCCACTTGGACAAGCAATACAGTTACAACAAATAAATAAGCAATTGCCGAGTTCATTTGGTCAATGAACTATCATTGCAAGTGCTCAGAGGTTAACTAACTGAATAATGTACAACCACACGGTCAGATTACATAAAGATAATGAACACGGTGGAATATATAATACATGGACCAGATTTCTGGACAATCGAACTACCAGATCCCTTCCTTCGTCATCTTAAGGAAATGGCAAAGGGTGATGTTTGGAAGCTCAACCGAACCCGATTTCTTCTTCCTTATCCTTGTCATCTTCAAGGATTTTGTGCCCTTCGATTGACTGACTGTTACCGAGACCAAGTTGTAGAACTGTTGAGAGGCAGTTTTAGAAATATGTTAGATACTTAAAGGAAAATAATGCAGGCATTTTGTCTATTGTAAATGGAAAAGTAGGAAACTTGTGTTTTTTGGCGTGACTACGATAAGAAATCAGTAGATGAATTTTTCGTAATTACTTACTAAATGTAACCTCAGAACAAACAATATAGCTCGAAACCCCTATACTGGTCTAAATTTTGAGTCGATTCACCCAAAAAGAGGGGTAAATATACCTCACAAACCCCGTGCAGCAACAACCTATGAAAAGGATCTTGAACCTGTAGCACAAGAACATCTCCATCTCCACTCTTCTCAACAAAAGCCCGTATGCATTCCTAGTTGCAAAAAACACATTGCTGTTGTCAGTCATCCAAATTCTATCAAAATTACACAAGTATATTTACAAACTAGTGACTACTGGCAAGTACTTCAACTTTCTACAAGAAGGTTTTTAGCTTCCAGCTTTGATTACGGTTACAATACTAAAGATCTATCACAAATTCTAACAGATCATCAAATTTGGTGTGTAAAATCAAAAGTTAAAGCAATCATCAATGTTATAAAGTAGTTCACAATTTCAGTACAATGACAACGGTGTCGGCAAGTGCATCCATGTACTTTTCAATATAATTGAGCAGGCAGGGAAAGAGATGCCATCTACTTTTCATAGAAAATGAAGAATTTTATCAAGGTGAATGGAGAGAGTAAAAGTACATGGGAGGACAAGGAATCCTCTATTCATCGGATACAAGATGTACCTCATATCCATTAATCAGTTCTGGGAGAAAGCTACGGCGAAATGCTTCCCTTGTTCTACAACCCACTCTATGCCAAGCAGTCAGTACAGCCACTTTATCAGCATCCACAGGATTTTTCCTCTTTGATGAAGACCCTTCAAGGGCTTTAATCATGGTACCCTACCAGAAAAAAAAAGAAAAAGATGAGAAGGGTTGCAGCATGTCGCCACATCATATGCCATTATACCAGAAGCAATAGAGGTGGATGATATGTGCTGCCACACTAAGAAGACAAGAAGGGAAACAAAATTTATTGAAACAAAAAGTAAGCACCAATTCACTTGAATATCACATCTAAAGGATAATGGAAGGAGATATAAATGCATACGTAAATAAGCATGACATGAAACTGCCTCATCAGACGAACAATTTTATCAGTATAACACAATGCACTACAGTGGAACTATAGTCAACAGCCTCAAACCCATAATCCCCCCCCCCCCCGACCCTGAGGTAGCTTCACCCATAATTGTTGCCATATATCAAAAAGGAATAACCACTTTGCATTATCTAGGTCCCAATTGCTAAATGCTATGCATATCACAAAGTGATACTTCTAGTAAACCTTCCTAAAAAAGAAAGTAATACCTAATCCCCAAAAATAGATCACAAATAAACAAAATAACAACATGTAATGGGATGAACATCTTTCAGGCTCGAGCAATCTAGGTGCTACCTCACATCATCATTCATATATAATTAAATTCACACTTTTTACACACACAGCCAATAAAGACAACCAAAAAAATTGCCAGAAAACAAAGCAGACGGAAGCAGCTACGTAGTAACAGTAAAGACTAAGTAATCATGTACACTTCCTTTCAGTTCATACATGACATCCAAGGTCATATATTTTTCAAACCGAAGATCGTTGCAGTACTAGTTTCAAGAATTTCTTTCATTTCCCTGAAAGAATTTCAAGAATTCAAACGTGGTTTGATAAATTAAGAGAAGCAAAAAACCTCTTTATCCATGTCTACATTCCTAAATTTGTCCCACTCCCCCACATTTGCCATGCAAAATGGTGACAACGGCACATCATCACCTGTAACATGAACCACAAACCAATAGTTTCATAATGCCTGCAAAGAAGTTAGCAAAAAGGAATCTGCTGCAAGCATGTAGTGGAGTTGAAAGGGGGGAAAGTAACAAGGAGTGATCGTATAATATTACGGCCATGAAGGAAGGAAACCCTAAGATGAATAGGAAGTTCGAATCAATTTTGTGCTCAGCGACACATCCAACCTATCTGAGGATCGATTTTAAGAATTGCCAATCTGCAGTAACATAAACTTTTCAGTTTTTCACTTTATATTATCGACCAATCTTCACCAGACTGAGTAATTTTCTGAAATATTTGTTATTTTCAGACTTTATATTTAATTCAAAAATGAATTTGAAAAAGCTTACAACAAAATAGAAGGTCAGGGTGTACTAATTTTTGAAATTTCTTTTGCTAGATGTTTCATATAGTATAATATCTTATTATTTAGATTTCTGTAAGACTGTTTCCTGTGATATGTCTTACCAAATGGAGGTGGAGCAAACAAGCCTCTAATTTCTTCTGCATTCAAACGAGGTACAAGTTCCATCAACAGACGATCATTTAACCACCTACGAGTTCGCCGATTGCTAACCTGAAACAAATAATAAAATCTTAGATGCAACCACCAGCACAGTAGGGTCTGGACTACACTGGACCTCCCAGCCCCACAAAACAACAAAACACACACACAAAACAACAACCACCCAACAAAAAATATGTAAAGATTTTGTCACCAGAAACAAAGGCTGCCAGAATTTTATAAACAAACCACAGGGTACTCCTAGTGATCCAATCATCCCAGTGACAATACGGAATATAAAAAAAGGTTGCATGAGTATATGACTGATCAAATCACATAATGATCCTATTATCATTCTGTAAAGGTTTGCAACTCCCTCAGCTCCCAGCAACATATTGCACAATGTGCTTCTAGCAAATGTGTTATTCAATAAAAAGACTAATAGTTTTGCATTCCCAATGTCTACAATAGACATACAGGCCGTAGATATATTGGGATAGGAGAGTGAAACAGAGATTCAGAAAGAAAAAAAAAGAAATTGGTTTCATGCAAATTATAATTAAAACAGGTAGCACCCTAGTCAACCACTACGAACTGAAAATCAGGATATAGTCTAACAAACAATTAGTCACTTAAAATAAATTTAGTGCCAAGCTTGATTTGCCAGAGACAACTGCTAATCACACCCACTGTCGGTTAAATCCGACTGGCATGATCAGAAATCATCCAAGCAAGCAACAAGTAACACCCCAGAACGAACTTTATTTTGATGAGTAAAGCCCTAGAATGAAACATAACAACAAAAAAGAAAAAGATTCGATATTCTACTCCAAATATTCAAAAGAAATAGGTAATCACTTTTCCGGTCAAACTCTCCAGGAACTCGATCTTTTTCTCAATCGCCAACCCACGTGATTTCGCATTTTCTCCTGCAGACTCTCATAAGAAGAATTCAGTGAATTATAAAAAATTAGAACTACATACCGTGGAAAGAGTAGATGTATAGAAAGATTCAATCAGCTAGATTCATACTAAAGATCTATTAAGTCCAACAAGCACTAATAAATACTCAATTCAAAGTATATATGCATGTATTAGAGAGAGAGAGAATGGAGCGTGGATGCGATTTAGTACCTTTGGGATGATCAAGGAGAGGAGAGTACAGGTGATGATCTTCGTTTCTCATCAAAACTTGAGGCATCGCCATGATCGATCGATTGATTGGTTGATTTTCCGTCAAGAAAGATGGGTTTTTTTTTTCGGCTTTTCTGGTAAGAAATGAGTGAGGGAGGGGAGAAGGAAGACAAAGACGAAGACCAAACACAACCGCAAGAGGAGGAGGAGGAGGAATATGCTATGCGTTTCGGTGCGGTGCGGTGCGGATGCTCAATCAAAGTAATCTCACTTTGCACCCTAAAAAATGATCTGATTCTTAATTTATACCATCAAATGTTAAAAATTTCAATTTATACTTTTAATGTTATGAAATGGTAGTAATTATGGACCTTGCCTAAATTGCCGTTCATTTTTGTGTCATGCACGTTACATGCAAGTGTTTCGGAAAAGGATTTGTGTTTAAATTCATAGATTGTTGCCGTTTCAATGTGAGTTACATGTGATAGTATAATAAAGTTAGTGTCTATTTGATTAATAAAACTTAATTTTTAATATACAAAACGTTTTTAAATTATTCAGAGACAAAACGATGTGCGTAAATTATTTATATTTCGTAATATAGAGCGCGTAAATTAAAATTTTTAATATTTAAAGATAAAAATTAAAAATCAAAAGATTTTAGGGTGTAAAGTGAAATTAGCCCATCAAATTTTGACATTTGGCAAAAGAGTGATGTGTGTGCGATTGGCTTCGCTGTAATGAGACGTGAAGTTGAAATTACTATTTTGACCTCCATTTGGGGGTACCGTCACGTTATTGTTATTACGAGGTATCATCATTTATGAAAAATATAACAAATAAATAAATAAATTCACTTATTATAATAATTATCATATCATGTTATTTAATGACCATCTAAATTGAATTTATCTTACTAATTTATACATTTATTATTAAATTATGATATTACATATCAATAATGATGCAATATCACATTTACTTGTAAATCACAAGTTCGATTGAATCTTCCTAATTTTTCTGTTGGCATAACTCAAAAATAGTTAAACCCAATTAAATCTTTAAACCGGGTCAAATGTTTTGTGACACGTGAATAATACATATATTTTGGTCTAATTTTTTTGTCCTAGCCCATATATATTACTTAAATTATTTAGTTTTCTCATATCGAATTTTCTTGCTCTTTCTTCTATTTGTATACACTTACTCGTGGATTCTAAACACGCTTTCATGAAGATGTAAACCCCCCCCCCCCCCCCCCCCCCCCCCCT